GACACCCCAGTCCATGGCCACAGAGGTCCCTCAAGTGTCTACAAGACACGCTCATCTCCACGCTGGGGTGGACATGGGGTAGTGTCTCTACTTCCTGATCCACTTCCTCCCCTGATCTTGGCCTGGCTGGCACCTGGCTAGTACTGCAATGGGTCCTTTCAGGCCCCTTCCTGACCCCTGTCACCTTCTTTTCCTGTCTCCCCAGAGCTTCCTCCTCTCTGGATGACCTCACTCACTTGCCCACTGGCATGAGGCTCAGTGCCAGCCACCAAAACGTGGCAGTGTTCAACATCTGCAGGTCCCAAACTGTCACCAAGAGGAACACATAGATTTGAGCTCTTAAATGTGGCCAGGGATGTAAGACTTGAATTTTTAATCATATTCCACTTAACCACATGGATGGTGGTTTCCTGATGTTTTGTGGTGATAGACAGGTCCACACCTAGGTCTCTCTCAGGAGTCCAGCACTCCGAACAGGGCCCAGCGAAAGGTTCATGCCTCTATTAAATGTATGAAGTGAATGGAGGGCAGGAGGGCAGATCCAAAGGGTTTTCCTCTGAAACCCCACACCTCCTTCATACCAGGGCCTGTGTTCTGACACACGCTTGACTACCCACCCATGAAAAATCTCCAATAAGTCCGTGAAGTGGGCAGGTAGCAGGTCCCCTAGATAAGGAAATGGAGGCTCAGAAGTCAGGGGACGTCCACAGAGGTTAGAGCTCCACCCAAGATCTTCCCTGTATGCAAGTGTAAAGGGTTTGCTTCCTAATAAAGAGCGTTAAGGAATCAATGTAAAAAGGAGCAGGAGTCCAAGGAAGGCCAGTGTGGAACCTCAGTGAGTTACAGGGAGGCAACACAGACCTTGTACACCCACCAAGATGCTTCTCACTCAGAGGGGGAGAAAGGGCTGTGAGGTAAGGAAACTTAGGGGGAAATGAAATCTAGAAATCTGGGACAGTCTGTCAGGACGGGGGGCTTGAAATGGGTCCTCGAGTACATACAAGGGGAGGATGGGGACAGATGTAGTCGTGCTACAGGGAACGCTGGCAGTTATCACCACCGGCACGCCCAAATGCACAATTCCCAGTTATAACCTCAGGTGAGCAAAATTATGTGCGTACAGATGCTCTTCAACTCACAACAGGACTACATTCCGATAACTGCATTGTAAATTGCAAATATCCTTAGTGGAAAATGCGCTGGATCCACCTGACCTAGAGAACATTCCAGCCCAGCAAGGCAGCCTGCCACAGAACATCAGCTGTTTCCCGCCACGATCGGGGCTGACCAAAACCCCCAGCAACACGGGAGGGAACCCTGCAGATCGCTATCCTGGAAAATGAGGAAATTTCAAAATTCTAACTGCAGTTTCCACAGACTTTTCTTCCCTTTCGTAGCATCACAGGGCCGAAGGACCCTAAGTGGAGCCATTATATGTCAGGGGCTGACTGTACATGGTTTGTAATGACGAAAGATCACCATGTCATCCATGTAATAAATTATACTACATCTATAAGCAGCTGGAAAGAGCTAGGATGCTCTCTGGGCTGAATCCTCAAACTCTCAAAAAGCACAGCATCAAAAACCAAGTAGATGCGACGGGGGATATAGCTTAGGGGCACAAGTGTCTGCCTGGTAAGTGCAAGGACGTGAGTTCGATCCCAGACATTAAAAAAAAAAAAAAAAAAAAAAAAAAAAAAAACAGAAAATCTGTGGGTTCCTCAGAGATCCTCAATTGAAGAATCCTCTGAGGGAGGACATGCCTGCCCCAAGAGTCTGAACTAATTAAGGGTGAGGCCCAGGCACAGGCACCACTTAGGAGTCACAGGGATTCCTTCATCTGCCACCCAAGCTGCAGCCACTAGGACAAAATTCTGTCTCTCAGGGAAAAGGGAGGCAAAAATAAGAATATGTATTCATATTTGCTTGTAATTTCAGGGAAAAAAAACCTTAAAAAAGTAAGTGTGGGGCGGGGAGGAATGGAGGGGAAGGGGGAGGTGGGGATTTTAAGTGTTTTTGGAGCCTTCCAAAAACATTCTTTTAACATGAAAGCAACTAATTAAAGTAATGAAACAATATAATAGGGCCTAGGAGAAATTTTAAATGAAGGTTCAGTGAAAAAGAGAAAGGGATGGGGGAGGAGAGAGGAGGAGAACATTTTAATCATAATTACGCTCTTTTGAGGGCCAGTGGATAGGAGAGTGGCAGGATTTTCTCTGGACCATTGTCCTATTTCCAGATTAGCTGTGTCATTTGTGCCTAGAATGAGCTCAGCAAGCTGAGCTCTGCAGATCTGAGGGAGGCTCGTCCTCTGTAGCGGGGACAGTCTCAGGCACAGTGAGACACTGAGTAACTTCTTGGCTCCTCCCAGGAGATGCCAGTGGCAACCTCTTTCCTGGCTGCGGCAACAACAACAAAAAATGTCCTTGGCGTAGCTAAGTGTGTCCTAAATAAATTGCCCACAGCTGACAGCCACTGAGATGAGAGAGACCTCCCCAGTCTGCACACCCCTCTCCACTAGGGGGCGTTTTCCTTCTCTGTCATATTCCTAGATGTTCTGAATTGTACCTGTGAATTCACTAGCCTCCCACGTAAAGAAACAGGACAATTATATTTATATATATGATTGCTAAGTGACTACGGGACATTGGACACTCCCAAAAGGGATCATTATTTTCTATACTTCCATAAGGATTAAGTTTTTTTTGTTTGTTGGCTTATGTTTTTGAGACAGGGTCTCACTCTGTAGTTTAGGGTGGCTTTGAACTCATTATGTAGCCCAGGTTGGCCTCAGACTCACAGCAATCATCCTGCCTCAGCCTCTTGAGTACTGGGGTTATAGGTATGAGTCACATGCCCAGCAGGATTAAATCTTTTTAAGTTTTACTTTATGAAAAAGAAAAAAATTTCATAACAAAATAATAAGAAAGTAACAATAGTTAATACACTGGAAATCATTATCTTCAAATTTGAAGACAAAGAAAGATATTTCTCTTACAAAGAAGAAACAGATAATAGCACAAAGCCTTCTCTTCAATGAAGTAAGAGAAACTATGGTATGAATGAAATGGATTGAATTTCTAACCCCCAGCATTTTGTTCCTCTGTATCATTTACTTGTTTGTTTGGGTGGTTTTCTTAAAGGCCAAGAAGTCAATAGCGTAGGGGAACCAAAGAGGGAAACATGAGGCTGGCCCCAGGCCTCGCGATCCCTCAGGAAGGAAGCAGTGCCCAGGTCTGGGCGCACCCGGCAGGCACCAGGCCGACAGGGAGCACGGAGTCTGCAGGGTCAGGGTGGACCCCTCCGCACTGCACACTCCTCCTTTCGCAGCAGACCCCGAGAGGTGCGGAGGGCCGGAGTGTCACATTTCTATGGCTGCTTCCCTCTCCTCCGCTCTCACAACAGCCCGGAGGGGGACAGATGAGACCCTTCTGGGGAAACACATGGGACTCATGACCTGCACTGGGGTTTATTTCAGTTTCACTGCTTCGAGCAGGAGCCCGTCAGTGTCGGTAGGAAACTGAAGGTGAGGGAGGAGGGACAGACTGGTGGCCAAGGGGCAGACTGGAGGGTCAGAGGTCAAGTCCGGTGACCCTGAACTCCAGCAGAGCCCAGGGCTCAAAGCTCACTCTCTCCTTCCTCACCTCTCACTTTGAGACAAGTCCTCATCTCACAGTCTCCCTGGTATCATTGCCCCCTTTCTCGTTCACAGCACCTTTCAGAATGAACCTTAACCTTCTTTACAAACGAAGAAACTCGGGCTCAAAGATGTCATGTGCCAGTAATCTCTCCGCCCGACTATGGCTTGAATGGCGCCCAGTTCCTGTGCTGGAAACTGACACCAGGGCTACAGTACGAGGAGGTGACCAGGTCTTGAGGACAGTGGGGTACAGGACTGGACTCCTGGCAGCCAGGCACAGGTACTTCCGGCAGCCTGCAGCACTCAGGAGGCCACCGAGTGACTTCCACAGCCTCTTTCCTACCTCCAGACCTCTCCCTCCCCTCCCCTGCTCAGCCCAGCCAGTCACACCTGCCCTGGGGGCGTGGGCTCAAGCCACAACACTGTCCTGGGCCTCTTCTCCTGCAGCTCATTCTGCATGCTATCACATCCCCATTCTGCAGCCACACTGTCGCTGCAGCCTTTGACTGCATTGTCCCAGCTCCTCGTAGAAATCAAAAGCTCCCCGAGGCTGCGCTCTGTCCTATTTCCTCCCTGCCTCCAGGATTCTCCACGCACCACAGTGGCCTCTGCCTAATGAGTATTAGGCTGGGTCCACAGTCAAGCACTCACTCTGCCACTTCTGTGTGGCCGAGGACAAGTTACTGAACCGCTCAGAGGAGCCTCTCTTTTTTCCCCATCTGTACAGGAAGACGATCACACCGGCAGTGGATGCTGTCAGCACCCTGACAATCAAGTGCACATTTCGGTAAAGGTTGGGCCATGTGGGACCTCACTTTTGTCACCAGGCTCGTGTAAGATTGCTTGTGCGTTTCACAAATATTGCATGCCAGCTCAAATGATTGGCGTGCAGGATGCAGGGACACAATGGGCAGCTCGATACAGCATGCACTCTGGCATACAGCAGGTGCTCTATGACACTACCACTGATACCCGGGAGCATCGTTTTTCCAGGCTAGAGATCGGAAACTGGCAACTCAGGGTTTAGCGGAGCCAAACTAGTTTTGTTTGGGCCGCACAGCATTTTTAAAGAAGTTACCCTCATTTCCTAATGGGGATAACACAAAAAAAATTGGATTTTCAGATTCTTTTGGTAAGGAAAGACACCAGTCTCATGTGAGGAACCAGCCAGAACCAAGCAGTGGGCACCCCCTCCTGCAAAGCGTGAGCTTGCTAGTCGCCACAATCTCCACAGCCACTTAGAGTCGCAACCCCAGCTTGACCACACTCATTCATGTACCCACAGAAGAGGCAGGTTTGAGCCCACAGAGCTGGATGCTTAGTCGATGTTTGACAAAATGAAAAGCAGCTTAGTACTCACCTTGTGACTGTCTCGCGTCCTTGGCTCCCACCGATAGGGCTCCATGCCGGCGTCCGGACTCTCCACGGGGAGGCTGGTCCTCACTTTGGGCTGCTCTTGTCTCCTCTGTCTGGCTTCCTGCATGACGCACAGACCCTCTTGGACTTTGGCAGGGAGGCCTTTTTCTGAAGAGGCCCTCCTGATGTCCAGCGGAGACCTGCCACGGTCACGATGCAGGTCATGCCACTGGGCCACACTTTCCTCCTCTCCCTGCCAGGTGGATTTTCTTAGGGCACCCTTTTTCTTGTCAGTAGGAGATTTGGGTGCCAGTCTCTCTCCACTGCCAGAGTCTTCCCAACCAGAGGAATCTGTCTCAACCAGGTAATTCTGAAACTTTGTGTCGCGAAGGTTGCTAGCAAAGGTCTTGCTTTCATTCTCTGAGATTCCCGTAACTTTCTTCCTGGGTCCAGCAGGGACGGAAGACACCACAGAATACTTGTCAGCAGGAGCCGCATGTGGCAGAGCCCACAAAGGACAGCTGGGCTTGGAGGTTGCGGTGGCCCCCAGGGTCTCTGCTGGCTGCTTGCCTGAGCCAGGAGAGGTACTGTGGCTTGAATCCCTGATGCTGACTTGTTTCTGAGGAGCCTCCCCGCTAGGAACCTCCTTGGGGCTCCTCCATCCCCTGTCCATCCTGGCGGCCCAGCCTGGCGTCTCCTGAGGTGAGCCACCGAGTTCCACAGTGGGATTCCGCTCCCGGACCTCACCAGGGACTTTGGTTGACTGTTCTTTGTATTCAGCCATCAGGGCATCAATGTCGAGAATGCTGGATCTGTAACTACCCTTCATTTTTCCTGGGAATGTCTCACTGTCCACCACTGTCCTCCTTCTGACCAGCAGACTGCTGGGTCTCGGGTGACTTCTTAGGGTCGGGGTAGTTTGGGGAGCACTGCTGGGGGATGTCCTACTTCCACTGTCCTTCTGGTCATTCTGAAAACTCAAGCTTTCTGACCCCTGATGAGTCCGCAGGGCATCCACAGTAACAGCTCCCGTGCTGGAAGGGTGCAGCATCCAGTCTCCCACGGAGGAAGGACGGTCTGTTGGCTTCAGACTTCTTGAAGTGCTCGTTGCCTTTTCACAGTCTCTTCCCTTAGCCCAGGTCTTGCTGCCCGCAGAAGCCTGTGGCTCTTCGTGGTTTGGAGACACCAAGGCAGTCATGAAAGGATGAGGTGCAGGAGGTGGCGATGTCTTTCCAGGCTGTTCCAGTGAATTCTCAGGCCCTGACTTAATAATACTCTTTGTCTTTTGTATATCAGGAATCTGATAAGTGACTGCAAAAAACATTGCCTTGGGTTCCACAGATGACCCTGCTTTTGTGCCTGGGGAGGTTCGGTCCTGTAGGGCACCTGGGGCCACCTCCTGTGTTCTCACATGATTGAGGGACAGCTGAGGTTTTCTTAAGGCACTGGTTGTGGGGCTCAGGGAATCTGTTTGCTTCTGATCTACTTTTGAAGAGTTCTCTGGGAGCAGGAGGCTAAATGCCTCAAATTTTGCATCGTGGGGTAAAGTCCGCCGCCTCCATCTGTCCATCCTAGGCTCTGTGGGGCTGGCTCTTGGCACTCTGGCCTCGGATTCCAGCCTTGCAGCCCCCTTATTGTCAGTCACAAGGGGTCCTTTCTGCATGAGAAGTGCCTCTGGGTGTGCCTGAAGCCGGGAACCAGAGGGCTCAAACTTGGCCCTGGCGGTAGGAGGATCCGGGGCACACCCTCCAGGAAGACCCCTCTCTGCTGTATTAATGGGCCCTCTTGGCTCGTTTCTGAACCCAGGCCCCTGGTGCTGGCCTTCCCAGATGGCAACCTTGACAGCCTTCATAAAATTGGCCTCAGAAGCACAGGACTCTGTGCTAGCCACCAGGGCATCTTGATGCCAGTTCACCACTGACCCGTTTGTCCACCTGGATGGTGAGCTACTGTCCCCAAATGTGTCCTTCTGCTCACAGAGACCAAGTTTTGGCCCAGTTGCCTCCTGCCCTCGAGCTTCCCAAATCAAACTGGACCTTTGGACAGACCCAGCATGACCTTCCAGAGGATGCTTGGGGTTGACAGGGGTGACCTCCTGGGACAACTGCCTCCCCTTCAGTGACAGCCGGGACCTGGCACTGCGGAGCATCAGGGCCTGCTCCCCGGGTGCTGTGGAGACGGCCTCACTGTGTGCGCGCTCCCCCACAGTGTGCACAGTGTCATACCTGGGCTCAATCCTCTGTGACGTGAGAGGACTTTCCAAGTGCTTAAGAAAGGTGCTATCACTGCATGTATCACCCACACGGTATTTATCTGGGGTGACTACTCGATGTCTCAGCTCATTGTCCAGTAGGACAGTGCCTGCCAGTTTTGCCTGCTCGGAACTTTCAGGCCACTTGGGATTCTTCAGCCTGGGGCTTGTCACTTCTGGTGGGTCTTTCCCCATCCAGGTGCCTTTCTCAGACCTGGGTGTGGGCTCAGAGCCGTGGGTATCACGAGGGGATGTGTCCAAGAGACAACGTCCTGACTGGTCAGCCACCGTGTGCCGCTCCACATGATGTTCAAACACTGTGGCCCACACCATCTGGAAGTTTCTGTCATCTTCTGGAGTGACTTCAGAGGGCCCGGGACCCCTTCCGGCACTGTTAGCTGGACAGCTGCTGGGATCCTGTCTGGGGCCGTCTTTGCGCTCCGCCTGCCCAAACACCTTGTGGGGCACCCCAGACTTCCCAGGGCCACTTGGGGCAGAGGCTCTGTCCAAACCATGTCCTGTCTTTGGCTGAAAAAATAAGCACAGCAGTGTTAAAGGGTCTGAGCTGGAGAGGAAGAGGCGGGGGGGGGGCGGTGATCGAGTTGACGGCTTGACCATGGAACAGTGAGAGCACGTGGATTTAAAGACTCATCACACCCCGTGAGGGAAGTGTGTGGGAAAGTGGGTGCCCCCACTTTCTGCCTGAGAAAACATAAATGGGGATGACGTAGGGACCGTTCACACTATCATGATTTTAAAACTCTCATTTCCTTTTATTTGACCAAGTCCTTCCCAGGACTTCTGCTTTACCCTCATGCACAAGGGAACACAAACAACACAGTCCCGGGGGCCCTGCAGGGCTTGTGAGAGCAAAGCAGCCCAGAAGCAACCTGCACGCCTATCAGAAGGGCACGGTCAGGTCCGAGCAAGAGGTCACCACAGAGGCACTTGTGACCGCAAGAGGAGGAGAGGGATCGAAATGCCACTGATAGTCAACGACACGTATAAAATATTGCTGTCTTGTGGGAGCAAAGCAAACTGTACAACAATGTGTTTGTAATATAAGAAACATTTTAAAAACCTGAGTGTTGTTGCAGTTTATATCTAGATGCGCTCCCTGCCTCCCTAACCAAAGCTTCGTGCTCTCATAGGGGTGGCTTTTGGAAAGTGATTAGATCGCAGGGGTTTAGGGCTGACTTGCTGTTAGACAGGACTGCTGTGACCACAGCAACCAAACAGTGGAACCACTGCAGTGTTCGTCAGTGGATGGACAAACTGTAGCACATTCTCACGATGGAACAGTATTCAGCCACGCAAGGGACCATTGTTACCATGTGGACAGACCTTGAAAACTTATGCTGGGCAAAGGAACCACAAAGGCTACAGAGAGACAGTACATGGACTGTCCAGAGCCAGTGACTCCACAGAGACGGGAAATGAATTAGTGGTGTCAGGAGCAGGGTGGGGGCAGGGTGGGGTTTCTCTTTGGGTGGTAAAGTGTTTAGGACGGAGGTTGGGGCAGTGGTCAAGTGACACTGAGAATGCACTTAATGTCACCAAACCGTGCACTTGAAAATGGTTACAGTGCAGGCAGCGCCAGAGCTTGCTAAGCCCTATTCTACATGATGGAAGTGACACTGAATTTTTTTTAAAAATGTATTGATATTTAATTTTGTTCCCACTTTTCTATGTAATGTAGACAGAAAAAACACACGAATCCATTCTTATTACAATGGAATGTAATGAAATAGACGAAATTCAAATCCTTTTTGTTTCCTCATTAAATACCAATCTCCTTCAGATAACAACTGTTTCCAAAGAGATATGTCTTTGGAGATGTAGATGTGTGTATTTATGTATGTGTGTAGTAATATATTATGTCAATATTATATATGATGGGTATATATACCTGAAAATATATAAGCATATTGCTATATATCATATTTACACAGTTTGTTTTATAAGTTAAAAAAATATTATTACAGTTAAAGAAGTTAAAAAGGTACATTTTACATTATGTTTTTGTTTTGTTTTGTTTTTTGAGGCAAGGTCTTACTATGTACAGGCTAATCTTGAACTTGCTTATGGAGGCCATGTTGGCCTCTAACTCATGGTGATCCTCCTGCTCAGCCTCCTGAGTGCTGGGATTATAGGCGTGCGTTGCCATGCCCAACCTGATTATGTACATTTTACTATAATCATCAAAAATTTTCTACTTCTAGAAATGCAAAAGCAAGGGTTTGTCAACCTTTCCTTTCTTGGTTCTTTCTTTCTTTCTTTCTTTCTTTCTTTCTTTCTTTCTTTTCTTCTTGTCTTTATTTCTGGCAGTGTCAGGGCTTAAACCCAGGGCTTCATACACATTATGCGCATTCTCTACCATTAAGCAGCTCCCTAAGCCTCCTTCCTTGAAAATTTTTGAACACATACAAATCACAGAGGAAGCAATAAACCTGCCTCAACTCCTGCCCCAAATTTAAGGACAATCAACTCTGCACCCACGTGATTTTGGTGGTGTCACCATGATGTGTTTGTGCACACATGGGAGCTTTTCTTTAGTTGAACCTTCTTTCAACCCTTTTTAAAAAATGATTCAGAAGACCCTGGCATAAAACAGGGCTGGCCCCCAATGCCTTCAATGCCAGTCCCTTCTCTTGGGGTTGTACCATGGCAGGGACACAAAGGCTTGGAAATCAAGCACAAGTGCCATGGGTAAAACTCTGCAGAAGTTTCTTAAAACATAAAAGACGCCTTCTGCAGGATCCAAGAGAAAAAAGTGTCAGTGCCTACCACACAGTCTTGTGCACACGTGCTCATCCCAGCCTCCCTAATAGCCCCACACCGGGAACGTCCCAGGGGCAGCAAGAGACTGAGTGGAAGAAGGCATGCCTGTAACCCAGCATGCTGGGAGGCTGGTACAGGAAGACTGCAAGTTCAAGCCCAGCCTGGGCAACTTAGTGACTTATCAAGGCTCTGTCTCAAAACACAAAAGAGAAAGAAAAACAAGCTCTGTGTAAAGATCCTTGCCGAACCCCCAGTACTGCCAAAAAGAAAGGGAATGGGCAAACACTGTGGCCTCACACGCAGCAACAGCAATCAGCAACAGAAAGGCATGGATGATGCTATGCATCATGACAAGCCGGATAATTACTGAAAGAAGAAGCAACGCCAGAAAGACAGAACTGGCTCCACCGATACAGAAGTCCAGAAAGTGCAAAGGCATTTATCATGACAGACAGCAGATGAGTGGCCGCTTAGGGGCAGGTGGGAGGGAGGGTCACAAAGAACCAGGAGGGAATGTGCGCACGTCTTGCAGATGGTCGCGGTGGTGACTGTGTTGATGGTTTCCCAGATGCACTTTTGTGGAAACACATCCGCTTTTACACGTGCTCTTTCTGCAAGTCACCTGTACCTCAATAAAGCTGTTTTTAAGGAAATTAAAGCCACGAAAAGCATCAGCCACAAAACAGTCAAACTCAGAAGTCATTTTATGAACTTTTTCATATTAAACCAATGAAACAATACTTTCTAAGCAACTGATTTGCTGGTAAATTCCTTCTTTCTTCTGTTAGGTGGCCAGTCAGAGTGAAGAGGGAGTAAGAATCCTAACAAGGGAACTGGAGGGAGTTTGTGTCAACATTTTAAACCAAACTCTTTTTTTTTTTTTTTTTTGTCTTTTTCTTTTTTATCGGTACCGGGGATCGAACTCACAACTGCCTGCTTGCAAGGCAGGTGCTTATGCCGCTGAGCTAAATCCCCAGCCCTAAACCAAACTCTTAAGCGTTTTAATAAAACAGGAACTCATATAAGCAAGCTGTATCCCTGTATCTCTTTGCACAGAAAAGATAAGCAAATACCTGATGATTACATTCACAAAGCCCCTGATTCCCAGGACTGGCAAATCACAACTCAGGAGAGATGTGGGGTCCTAAGGCAGGGAAAAATGCCTCCATGTCCAGGACCTGATGCTCTCTGCCTGGGTCCAGGAGGTCCCTGATACTCTCCTCTGAGAAGTGTAACTGTGTACTGGCAAAGAAGCCCCGGGGACAAAGCCCCTGCTCACCTTCTCGCTCTGCTCCTTAGGAGACTGGCCGCCCAGCCCAGCGTACTTCTCGTACCTGACCTCATGGTTTGAAGCTGAACTTGAGAACCTGGGAGAGAGATCTGAGTTACTCACATGGAGCCAGACGCCAGGATTCTCCCAGCCCACACCCTGGTCCCAGCTCAGGAGACTGGGGCTAGACTCTGCCTTGCTATCCTTGAAACCACACTGCCCATTTTCATTGAGAACATTTCCTTTCCAGGGACCAAGCGGAGAGAACCAGTGGGCAAAGCCTACCTTAAGCAGAGCATCATCCAAGTAGAAGGGGCCCCAGGCTTGGTGAAGGTGCCTGGCTGCCAGTCCCTGCTCCACCACCTCACTGAAGGAGCTTGGGTGAGGCCCATGACCTTCCCTGAGCCTCTGTTTCTTCATCTATAAAACGATGATAATTGATACCTCCCCGCCCTCTTTTGTAGGACAGATAAGAGGATACCTATAACCCTAATAGCTACATGAAGGTGTTTAGGGAAGAATGAAGATGCTCCAGGAAAGATAATTAATGGTTCTTGTTAGCAACCTGACCACAACAATCACCCTATCCCAGAGCAGCCACGAGACTTGGCGGTGGTGGGTCACCGTGGAATATGTGGGGACACAAGTCTGTGTGCCTTTCTGGGTGAGCAGAGCCAAGTCAATGGGTCTTCCCTCTCTGGGTTTCAGTTTCCCCAGTTAGAAAGGGAAACAGGAAGGAAGGAGGGAACAGGGACAATTTCTTCCTCTCTGATGTGCTGTCTGGGATAATGCCTGAAGATGTGTAGCAGGCGCTTGGTTCAGGCCTGGAAGCAATGAGAAGGGAGCAGAGGAAAACCAGACCACTTGAACTGGACCCCCACTCACATACACAGGGTCCGCTTCCTGGGAGGTGTGAGGCTATGATGAGTTATTTCTGAACTCTGTGCCTCAGTTTCCCCATCTGTCAGATAATCACTCAGCCCCTTTGAGGCTCCTTGATCAGTCAGAATAAAGTATAAGTGAGGTCCCTGCACCCATGACTTCTGTGATGTCTTAGCTCAAGGGCTATTAGGCCTGGCCACAATGAACATCACTTGGAAGTTTTTAGAGCTACCCAAATAATTACACACACACACACACACACACACACACACACACACACACACTCACACTCACAAATGCATGCATGTACCATACACACAGAAACACCAGACCAGCTAAATCAGAATCTTGGCATGGGCATTTTTCTAGGTGATTCTAACATATTGAAGGTCTCTCCTGGCCTGCTCCTGCCCTAGTTCCCAGGTTTGGGAGGACAGTCTCCGGAGGTCCTGCCCTACAAGCTTCTCCCTGGACAAAACATGTTGATGGCGTGCATGGCATTAACAAGCCTGTAGGTCACGCCTGGTGGCATCTCCCTGTTGTGGTCACATGTGGAAAAACAATAAACAAGAACCAAATGTCAGAGGTGGATGGAATTCAGAGAATCCTTGTTAACCAACAGGACTAGTGATTGTCAATATACAGAGGGCGTCCTCAGGGCAGAATAATTCCTGGTGTTGTCTCTGAATTTTCACCTTCAATCCTTTAAGGAAAGCTTTTAGTATAATTTCTATTTTCAAGACAAAGACAGAGTGCTATCACTTGCCCAAGCTACCCCAACTCCTTTGCTTTTGTTGTCTCGGAGAGGCCTAGCCCTAATCTGAGGTGTTCTGTGATGTGAGGGAAGGAAAGTCTAGCTACAGAGAGAGGCCGAGATGGAACAGCCTAGGGCCCTCTACGTCCTCATCATGCCTCACCCTTCCTTCCCGGATCTGTTCAGGGGATGCAGCTCCTCCCATGTCCTCACACTAGAGTCTAAACAGAAAGGGAGGACATAGGTCCCTACTGCCCCCTACCGGGAACCTGCCCTCCCTCTCCACAACTTTCTCATCTGAGGAGTAGAAACTAAGGCCACCTCTTCTAAGGGCTGTGGTGAAGTGACAGGAGAAATGTAAGGTGCTTGGCACAGAGCCCGGTGTCATTGGACTCTCTTTCCCTCAGCTTCTGGCGGGCCATGGGAGAAAACCTGGGGTATGCATGAGGAATAGGGGATGTGGCCACTTACACTTTGGTCAAATCTGCTGACAGTGGCCGCGCTTGGAGTGTCTTTCTCCTGATCTCTGGCTTCCCTTCTGAGCTCTCAGTGCTCCAGCCTTTGATCCGCTCCTGGACACTCACGCCCACTTTCTCAGGCTCTGATCTTGCCAATGGGGGCTCCAGGGTAGCCGGGGGAGGCTCAGATCCTCCTGCTGAGGCCAAGGTAATCTCCTCCTGAAACAGGCTGAGGCGCTTCTTGACGCTGCCCCTGGAGGTCCACTCTGTCCCCACCAAGGACTCCCCCTCAGTCCCTTTGTTCTTGGCCCCAGCATGCTCTAGCCCTTTTCCTGACCTGGGCGAAGGGAACTCAGGCCTCTTCTCTGGCTCCTGGCCCAGCCTGGCCTTCTCTTCCTGTGGACTCTGGTCACCTGCAGGGGGAACCCTGACTGAGCATCCCTGGGCCCTGGGGCCACCCAACTCTGCCTGCTTAAAATACAGCTTCTCTTTCTGTTCCTGGACTTTCTTGATCCCTTCCAGGAAGTCTGTGTCCGGGTCATGGTGAGAGGTCCTTGCTTGGACAGAACACTCGATTCTTTTTCCTTCATCAACCATCTTCCTCAGCAAGGCCTCCCTGTTCTCAAACCGGGCCGTGAGGTCCATGGACAAAGGCCGGGGCTTCCTCACCCATGTTTTCTCAGGAGGGGTGGGGGGCACCTTGCCCACCCCAGCTGCCCCTCCTGGGCCTGGCTTCAGAGGCTGGGCGCTCTCCATAAAGATGGCCGACACGGGCCTCCTCTTTGGAAGAGGCCTGTGCTGCAGCACAGGGGCTGTGGTATCCTCCACACTGCTGGTCTTCAAGAGTGGCTGCTCTGGAATTGTCTCCACTTGGCATGGGGCTGACCGAGCATCCTGTGACAGGGAGGCTGGTCGGGGAAGGGTTCCCACGGGCTTGCGAGCAGGCAAGGCAGGTTTGGCGGCCACCTCCGGACGGGTGCTGGAGAGGGGTTCCTGGGACACACCCGTGCCCGCCTCTCGAGCCCCCTGACTGAGCCCTTTCCCCAGAGGAGGGCCAGCTTTGGTGGTCTCAAAGAGAATCATGGTGCTGGGGCTGGTGCTAGAGTTGGTAGGCAGGAACACAGCCTTATTGACACTTTTCCCAGGGCTGTCCCCACCATCTACTTCTTGCCCTGACAAACTGGGCATCCTTGGATTCTGATTCTTGGCTGCTACCTCCTCAGAAACTCTACTGGGAGATGGCCTGATGGGGCCTGGCCACAAAGATGCTACAGGGGATTTGATATCAGAGGCCTGCTCCTTGAAGAAGGGTTTAGGGGCGAGTCTTGGTGGAGGGAACAAGTGAGCCGGACCCCGCAGGGGACTTTGTCCTTCTAGGATCTGGGCTGAGGGAGCCCCAGAGGTGTCACTTGCTTGGCGGAAGAAGGTACGTTTCAAGGTCTCTTCCTTGCTGATGTCACCCAGGCCTGGCACTGCTGTCAGGGATGTTATGGAGCCAATCTCAACCCGTGTTGCCATGGTTACCATCGTGGATCCATGAGGATTAGAAGTGTTGGAAATGGAGAGGCAACTGCTTTAAAAAAAAAAAGAAGAAGAAAGTAAATTTAGCATGCAGCCCATGTCTGCATCAAAGCACAGGTGTGGAAGAACAGGACTGAGACCTGAGTCCTGACTCTGGAGCCTGCTCCAGCTCAGAGGGCTCTTCCAGGCCTTTCTTAGCTCAGCCAATCTTGGGACCAGCTCTTAAAGCGAAAGGGAAAAATAAGAAAACCAGCTTGGCAGCAAAGGAACAGATCTGGAATCACCCAAAAAGAGAGGGGCGAGGTCAGTATTCACACTCAGCTCCTACGCACACCACATACTTTAGGCGTAAGCCCCAAAGCATGCATCCGGAAGCTCTGTCACCCCGATTCCTTCCTATTTCAGAGCCTCCTCCCGTGAGACATGCTAGCAGCCCAGTGTTGGGCACCAGGCAAGGCGCACTGAAGAGGTCAACCTCAGCTCACACAGCCACCAAAGCAGGAGCCCCCAGCATCACTAGTCTGGCAAGTGGTTGGTGGAGGTATGCCTCAGACCCTAACTCCCCTCCGGGGTGTCCCTGAGTCTCTTACCTTCCTCTCATCTTTCTCATCGTAGTTTACTTAGACTTAAAATCCAAACATCATTTTCCTCATTCAAACTGCTGGTATTTTTATTGCATTGTTTTCTGTTGAATGTCTATTTTTTTAACACTGGCTGCCTTCTTTTTTCCTGTATTTCTTTGGTTTTGTTGTGCTGGACAGTAAACCCAGGGCCTGTGCATGCTAAGCCAGTGCTCCCCCCCAGCTATGTCCCCAGCCAGGTTCATGTTCTTCACAGGAAGAATCAGAAGCTCACCTTAGGTGAGCCCTCCAGTGAGGCCCAGGGCTTTGTATGCTGTATAGCCCTCAGTCTCAGGGCCCTGTAAGGTGCAGCCAGTGATTAGATCTCATAACTCAGGTCAGGTGCCCCTTGCTCACTCAGCTATCTGAGTCTCTCACACCAGTTTCCCTCTCATTAAACCCCAAACAATTCCAAAAGGCAAAAAGTATCATTGTCTGTACCATGGGGATGAAGAGAAAGGTTCAGGGAGCTCAACTGACCTCTAGTCTCAATTCTTTTAGCCCTGCCTTTTGAAAAAATATTTTTTATTCTTGTTTGACCTAAAATGTACCGGAGAAGTCACTGTTCTTAATCCACCAGCTCCCTTTAATGCTAATATTGTCTTTCCCAGTAAAACCACCCCTCTTCCACTAGCCCCCCACCTAGGTGCACTAAAGAAAGAAAGTATTTTATTTAGTTAAACACAAGCCTCCTGCATCTCTTCCTTGGGCCCTGTGTAGCACCCTGTCCCCCCCTTCCGCCACTCTGACTCACTTGGCAATCTGCAGAAAGAGAGAGATCAACAGATTTTGATATTTTTTCTTCCCTACACACTTGACTGTGCTAACAGATTCCATCTCCCCAACCAAGAGAACAGTGTCTAGACAGGGTTAGAAGAAGACAGGGACAGATCTGGAGGACCTGGGAATTGAAGAGCCTCCATCTGCAAACACCCCAGCCAGAGATCTGAGGGTCCTGCCCACAATCAGGAGTGTCTTCCTTCAGAGCCAGTCACCATGAGCTCTTAAAACCCTGCTCTGAGACTCACACAGAGCACAGACAGGAGACGTAAGCCAAAGACAGGATTCAAAAGCAGACAGATGCTTCCTTGGTGGAACCCCAGTGCTCCGCCTCCAGGCCGGGGCCTGGGTCAGCATGTGCCCCACTTACCTGAGCTGGAAGGCCTGGAGTGGGGATGTGTGGCTGCTGGGGAAAGGCACCAGGGTCACAGCTCATGGCGAACGGGATTGTCTGCATACTCCCACGGCAGAAGTGGATAAGGAAAGAGGCTCATCCCCGAAATCTGAGTTTCAGCAGGTCTAGGGAGACACAGGACGGCAGCTTAGTTCTGGAGTTCCAGCAGTACAAGCACAGACGGCGCAAAAGCTTTCAGGCTCCCACTGCATCCGCTGGCATCGCCTCCAGCTTCTAAGCCTCATGCTCCTTTTGGATCTGCAGTTTTGTAGCCTTCTATATGCACGTGTACATGGTTAGTGTGAGTCCACAGCAGTGCTCAATAGATACCATCCCTATTTCTTCAGTATGCATTTATGGAGCACCTACTGTGTATACAAAGGTGAAGTGGAAATATTCCTGCAACCAGGGAGCTCACAATTTTGTGTAAGACACACACACACCTGCAATGCTGGATAATAAATGTCCTGTTCTATAATGGAGGATGTGGGGCACATGAATGATGACTCAGACAATGCCACCAACACAGAGGTAACTACTGAACACTCAAGATAATTATTTCAGGAACTCTTTCTTCCATTTAGCAGTATTGGCACACTGCCTGTGTGGGGGCCCTTAAACACCTCCTGGAGCCTTTGCACATACCATGCCTATTCTTGCTCACACATCCCTCAGGCCACTGCTTAGACACTGCCATAAACTGGTTCGAACCCCTAGCGTATGTTCATGGAGCATCAAAGACACTCAGATACTTGGCAGGACTCATCATAAGCATGCGGTCACATTTGCTAGGGTGTCAGTCTTTACCCCACATTCAACAAGTGCCCAGGGGCTAGTATGGTTGCTTGGCACATAACTGCACTGGACACATAATGAGCAGGTAAGTTAATTGTTGAGTGAATAAATTAATGAATAAAAAGCTATTCTGCCGTTCCCATTCCCTGTTCTTTTAAGATGCCAAATAAGTGCAGGTGCTATGAGTCTCATGACAAGTGACCCAAAACAATCTGGGGCATAATTTGAGTTCCCTTTGTTCTGGCCACAGCTACTGGGTGGAATGTAAAGTGCTCAGCAGGAAGCTCAACCTGCCAACCCCCACCGAGGAGGAGGGGGAGGAGCAGGAGGAGAAGGTAGAGGAGGAAGAGGAGGAGGCTGTCACACTGGGCCACATGGAAAAGCCCCACCACACCTCAGGCTGGCTGCTGTGAGTGCCTGAGGTGACCACCTTACCCTCACACTGTCATCCCACTGAACTGCTCAAATGGGGATTGGACGTGCATCTGCAAGGCTTCTCCTGGGAAGGAATCCCCCAGAGCAACCACCACTGAACCAGGAACACGTACCCAAATGTCACACATGGCTCTTGAGATCCCTGAGCCCACCTCTGTGGCCATGCAGCAAGAAAGGAAAGTGGAGAAGGCACAGAAAGTGAGTCTGGTCCATGCCCCCGCCTGCTATGGCAGCACCTGTTGCTTGTAACATGCTTTGTATCTTGGGCTCCCATTTAGGTCACTATTTCCCATACTGAGCAAGTGCCTGCTGGGTCTATAAATATGGTGACAGGGAGCCATCAAGGAATTAACTAACAGATCCAGGGAAAAAAGAAAGCAAAAGAAGTTTCTAAACCACTATGGTGTACACCTAGATAGTATTTCAAAGTCCTTCCCAACCCTAGAAACCCAAGTCTCAAGTTTTCACGTAACCTAATTATAAGATGCAAGGAACCTGATTTAAATATGCTTTAAACTCTTACTTCAAATGTATCACATACGCTATGCCCAATTTAAGAGATGTTAGTCTCTTCCAAAACATTTCAGAAGCCCACTCACACTGAAACCAGCTGCTATTTATTTCTAGCGTGGCCTCGCTCCATCTTTTTAAATGCACTCATGGAACGTCAAGAACAAAACCAGGCAACCAAGATGCTTCATAAACAAAGAAGGGAACTGGGCACAGTGGTGGACCCCTATAATCCCAGTTACTTGAGAGGCTGAGGCAGGAGGATGGCAAGTTCAAGGCCAGCCTATTTAGCAAGATCATGTCTCAAAAATAAAAATTTTTTAAAGGGCTGGAGAGTATATATATATATATGGCATAGACAGGCAGCAAGGGCCCATCAGGAAGAATGATAAACCAACAGAGGGATGGCACAGGCAGTTTCTCGGCTGTAGTTGAGTCTGATGTATCTATAGGCTTGATCTCCTTGAACTGACTTACAAAGCCAGAAATTCCCATTTCCCGGGAGTTATCTCTTGGAGGGAAAGCCCTTCGTCTGTACAACAGGTGCTGGAACAAGACAGGAGTCACTAGAAAGCGGGCACTCCTGCACCCTTCCAACCCTCCTTCTGCTGCGCTCACTGCTTCCTCACAAGACAGCAGGTCTGCGCTCTACGTTGGGTGCAGCCACGAGCTCCCAGCCGTCTGGGGAATCCAAGATATCATAAGAGAGGAGGCAAGAGGAGTGTTTCCATTCAAAACCAAACAGTTTGGCAGCTCTGCTCGCCTATTCGGAGGCGTTGATTCATTCTAACAGCTGCTGCTGATCCTTCATAATTACATCCTTAAATCCGATCTGGTAGCACACCAACCATTCACTCAGCAGCTCTGGGTGCTGCTTCCTGGGAATGCCACCATCTGGTGAAGAACGTGGGCCGGTCCTCACACCTTTCAGTGTTTTCCGGGAACATGACCTTGGCCCTCAAATCTGCAAATCCTATGGGGTGCACTATACAAAGCATATTGGCAAAGTACATCCTCCCGGAGGACTAGGGCTGCAGTACATGCAAGATCTGTCTACCCATGGGCCCTAGATGAACAGGGCCCAGCCACAATGTCAGATGTCACCGGCGTGTGTGCATCCTCTCATATCTGTCTCTATGGCTGTCCATCCATGCATCCATCCACTCAGGCCATAGCCAGTTATCCAGCACGGACTGTGTGCCAGGCTCTGGGCCAGGTGCTGAGAATGCAGCTGTGGTCACGAAACAGAAGGCCCTGTTTCGTGGGCTGACATTCAAGGAGACTGAGACCAAAGAATAAATAATGGAAAGAAGCAAAATATAAAAGCGTTTTAGCTAAGTGATGGCAAAAGGAGATCCCCTCCAAAAGTCTTATGTGCTCATAGGTAGGGCTGTGCGGAGGTGGGTCATGGGTGTGTGATTTCATCAGTAGATTCATCCACTGATAAGACTTTAGAGCTAAATGCGATATTGGGAGGTGAAGCTTCATTGGAGGAGGTGGGGCATGCCCTGGAAATGTGTCTCCTCCCTCCTTCCTTGATCTGTCTCTCTGCTTTCTCCCTGCCAAGCCATGAGCTCCTTCTCCTCTGCTGTGCCCCGCTGCCATGCTGTCCTGCCTTGGCGCCAGCTGACTGTGGATTTGAAACCTCTACAAACTTGTGTCCCAGCAGTGAAGAAAGTGACTAAGGAACCAAGTGACTCACATCTCTGCACTGCCGTTTCTTTGCTGCCTGGCTCATCTCTATCCACTCCTTAGTTCTCACCGCCCCCTACCATCTCCTCCTGAAATCCTTCCCTGATATCCCAGGCTGGACACAGTCAGGCACCAGTGAAATGTGCAGTGAGCTTGTCTGTATCCCGCAGACAGTTCTGTGAGCTCTCCGAAAGAACAGCCCGGTCTCGCTCATGGACATATCTGACACTGGAACCCAAAAAGTCACTGCATAACCCATCTGAGGGGCAACATCCCAGAGAGAAGCAAACGATACCCACAGGGGTGTGGGTGAGAACAGGGACGTCCATCCACTCCCGGGGACAATGTAAGCTATGATGGAGTTTTGGCAATATTCACTGCCAATGAGCACATCTTGAGACCTAATTAAGAGACAGACACTAACTACACGCTTCTGCGGCTCTTCTGCAGGAGTGCGCCAGGCCTCACAGATGAATAGGATGTAGCACACACAGCCAGCTCCCCACCACACTGCAGGAGGGCAGGAAGCCAAAGTTCTCTGCTCCAGAGGGAGAGTTTGTCTCCTGTACTCCTCACCCACTTCTAAGTCAGTAACTCCACATCTAAAAAGCTACGTAAGCAACCTGGAAGAAAAGCTGCACACACAAAAATCCCTACAAGCACAGCAGTGACCCACTCAGCAGGCAGAAGAACAAGGCCACGTCCATCTGTACTGTCCATCTCAAAAAACCTGACCACATACGTATGTGCCCCTTGGAGAAGCACAACCTATTATCTCTGCCCCCAAAGTCCTCTCACCAGCAAACTCCTCCCCTCCTCTTTAAATCCTTTGTACTACCTTGATTTCCAGCTGATTCCACTCTCTGAACTCAGCCCACTCCTAAGGGAGTGAATATGCATCCACGGTTGCTTATACATCAGGTGGTCTCTCTTCCCTCCGTGCCTTTAACATATATGGTACCCAAAACGCAGGACAGAGTAATCCTCTTTAGATGGACTTGAAGCCCTATCTTGAGCGCCCAGAGGCCACCGTGTGACTCTGCTCCTCAGACCTCACCCCAGATGCTCCCTGCTCACTTTAGATCTGGTAAGACTTCTCCTCTCCCTTCCCATGCCATAAGACTTTTCCCTCTGCCTCCAGCTCCCTGTTCCTCACCCACCAAGGCCTCAGCCTCATGGAGGGGAAGCACACAGGTTTCATTGTGAGCCTTGGTTGCAGGACACTGCCACTGTGCAACTTCTCGCTCACCGGACTCCCTCCTCCCCATCACCACTGTTTGCACTGAGGCACAACCCTACGGCCCAGTGTGGGCCACTGAGCCCCAGTGACACCATTCATGCATCGGCGTCCTGGGCCAGGAGTCCCAGGCCAAGAGCATGGTGCCAAGTGCCTGCACCCGACATGCCCAGCCTGGCCCGCTCTGAACTTGCTCCAGTGGCTTGGCATAACAGGCACACAGTGTCGCCATAAAGGCCAAGGACACTCCTGCAAACAGGGACTACAGCCCTGTGCACACAGTCCGTCATCAGGGTAAGGAAAACTTATGGGTCTATGCCCTCCTGCCACACCCCTGAACACATCACTGCCCCACCCCATAGTGTGCTCATTCGAACCTCCAAGCCCCCCACCCTGCACTTCGCTGCACCACCCCATCCTTCCTGCTGCCACCACATGGGTAGCTGCCTGGCTTTG